ATAGTGTCCCACACAGGAGGAGAATTGACAACTGAGGAAAATATAGATACTGGGTTGTGGAAGGAGCATAAGGTTTGACTTTAATCAAAATACATCAACAAGCTTTCCCTTATTGTTTGACTAAACTATTCAGTGATTTCAGATGGCATCATTGTTGGTCTGCAATGCAAAAATAGGCCACTTGCCCCCAAATTCTCCACACTGTGCACTGGGTTCACCTACTATCATCTCATCCTTTGATTTCTTTGAAACTCATCCAACTTCCTGTTAAATATATCGCTGCTACTCACTTCAACCATCGGATATATGAGCAAGCTCAACAATTAACTATCCTCTGGATAAAATTAACTCTTATGTCTGACAGGTGGGAACCACCAGTACTGAGATATGACCCAATTATTTTTACCTATTATGAGTTTGGCTTTCTCTTAATAATGTGTCAGAAGGTTGGTGCTCAAATTTCACTCAGAAATCAAGCTCCGTAATGCAGGTCCACACTTAATAGCAGTCCAGAGTGCATGCTGCATTTCCTGAAGCGCGGACCTTCAAATTAAATGGTAAGTCATCTGTCCACTCAGGTGAATCTAAATATCCTACACGATGATTGTAGGAGCATGGAAATTCTCCCTTGTGATGTTCAAATCAACTTCTCTCTAAAAGTAGAACACAAGACCTGCTGATCGTCATCCCATCACTGTTGAAAGATCTAGCTGCGCACAAACTGGTTACAGCATTTTCCTACATTACACAGCTACAAAGGAGGCCATTCAGCCTTTCACATCTTTACCATCTCTGAATAAGCAACTCAGAGTGCCATTGCCCTGACAATGGAGCCAACATTTCAAATTTACTTAACTGGTCACAGAGGATTATTTAAATGCAAACCCTCTTCCTCTCTTTCGCTGAGATTAACATACACAGGACATGATATGACCTCTTTTAGAGAAACAAGCCAGCATGTGCATAAGCAAGAAATTCGTTACAAAGCATCAGTTCCTGTTGTTACTGATTCCATCATTTTTGGCCCTTATCCCAACTGTTAGTGGATTTTCTTTGCTATAAAATTAATTTAAACTAAGGCATACCATACAATAGCAACCAGCTCCATCCCAAAATAACTGAAGATCCCACACACGTGTTATTTTGATCTGGTATTTTCTAGGGAGCCAAACTAGTAAATAAGTCACTGAATATACAGAAATAGAAAGGACATTTAAAGTAAAAAAGGAAACATTGAATAAATTGAACAAATGCAGAGGATAAACCCCTGATATATTGCATCTGCATATTTCAAAAGAATCTTGGGAAAAAACAGCAAAAGCATTTCTACTCATAACAACTGATCAGAAAAAGGTTTAGCACCAGAGGACAAGCTAACGTCGCTAATGTAATCCCATATTCAAGGAGGACAGAATATATCTTGGGTACTCTAGAGCAGTGAGCTGAACATCAGTCGCAAGAAAAATAATCAAGGCCTACTGAAGGACAGAATAGAAATAGACATCTTGGTATTTTAAAAGTGATATTTTGCTTCACAATCATCGAATTTTGTTGAGGTAACGGCGGAAGGGTGGCAATACAGTGGATGGAACTCATCTGGATTTTTTCCAAGGCCTTCAACATGATGTCCCAGAATAGACTTAAGGTCAGAGAATGTGGAGTCAGGAAGATGATTAAAAATGCACCACAAAGTTGCAGCACAGGTTTGCAAGGCTGTAAAAAAGCAAACCAAGCAGTAGGCTTTATTTCGAGCAGAGTAAAATTGAAAACTAACAAAATGTTATGTCAATCTTGGATTGAACCTTGATTGGGCTAGACTTAAGCGTACTGCATCTAGTCTGGTCACAAATTATAGAAAGGATTTTGAGGATTTGGACAGGGTGCAACAAATTTTTACACATGCAATACCAGAAATTTGTGGATACATATCAGGAAGGGATTGATGGTTGTTCTGTGATATTTGTTAGTTAATCTTTGTCAATCTTAAATCTCTCTGAACTTTCCCTTCTCTTTTGCAACAGTTTAAATCCACCACGTTTCCACTTTTCCTCAGTTCTTAAGTTTTATGTAAAACTTAAAACATTAATAGTGCTTTTCTCACCTGAGACTGTCTTATTTGTTCATGGGATGTCAGCATCAATGGCTGCCCCATGCCTAATTGTCCTTGACAGGACAGTGGTGAGTTGCCTTCTTCAACTGCAGAAGTCCGTGAGAGATTGGGCGCACTACTGCACGTTAGGGTGGCAGTTTGAGGATCTTACACAGCAACATTAAGGGATGGCTGTATAGTTTCAAGTCATGATAACTTGAGGGGGAAGCTTGCAGCTGTTGGTGCCCCATGGTTCAGCTGTCCTTGTTCTTCTAAGTGATACAGGCTGCAGGCTTGGAAGGTGCTATCAAAGGAGCCTTGATGAGATGCTGCATTGTACCTTGAAAATTTTGCTACTTTGTTCATGGGAAGTGGGATTCAATAGCTAGGCCAGCATTAATTGCCCATCCCTAATTGGCCAGACGGCAGTTAAAAGTTAACCACATTGCTGTAGATCTGGAGTGACATGTAGGCCAGACTAGGTAAGAATGGCAGTTTCCTTCCCTGAAGTATATTACATAGGTAGATGGGTTTTTTTAAATGACAATCGACAAGTGCTTCTTAGTCGTCATTAGACTCCTAATTCCAGATTTTTACTGGATTCAAATTCAACCTGGGTCCCTGGATTAATGGCCTGGTGATAATATCATGTGGTCATCTCCTCCCCACATGACAATATACATGGCTGCCACTGCATGTCAAAAGTGGAGGGATTGAATATTGAAGGTGGTGGATAAGATGCCAGTCAAATGGACTGCTTTGTTCTGGACAGTGTTGAACTTGGAGCGCTCCTGGAGCTACACTCATCCATTTAAGTGGAGGGTATCCCATCACATTCTTCCTGAGCACCCTACAGATGTTGAACAGGATTTCAAGAGTTAGGAGGCCAGTTACTCACGGCACAACTCCTAGTCTCTGACCTGCTGTTGGAGTCAGAGTACGTACGTGGCCATTCTAGTTGTTGGTAATGACCTGAAACCAAGATATAGTTTGTTTCTATTTCAGATTTCCAGCATTCACACTATTTTGCTTTTATTTGACAGGCTGTGTCTCTTTTCTCTTGAAAAAGGGCCAAAGGATGAAGTAACAGAGTTCTTTTAAATTATAGACAGTTTTGGAGTGTGAACAAAGAGTATTTCCTTGTGTGGGACAGAATAAGACTACTGATGATCTCTGTGAGTTACTAAAAAATCCAATCAGGAATTCACAGGAAACTCTCTCATCCACAGAGTGGTGAGAATGGGAAACTTGCAAACACAGGAGGTGGTTGAGGCAAATAGTTCCAGAAGACCACAGGCTGCTTACCTTCTCTTCTGAGAGACTGAGAAAGAGGAAGAGAGAAGGAGGGAAAGAAAGAGATGACTGGAGGTGAATTTCACTTCACGCCTCAGGTGTAGAGCGAGGTTGAGAAGGGGAGACCTTTATGATGACCTCAGTCAGTGTGGGAATTTAACCCATGCTGTTGGCATCAGTTTGCATCACAAACCAGGCATCTACCAACTGAACTAACAAACAACCAGGCAAATAGTTGAGATGTATTTAAAGAATGATTAGTCAGGAGAAGGGAATAGATAATCATGATGGCATATTTAGATGCGGGCAGATGGGGGCGCAGACTGAGTGGAACATAAACACAACATGGGCTAGCAATCAAATGATCTGTTGTGCTGAACAGACTAATGTCATGCCATGCTATCAAGCAAGCGATCATTCAGCCTGTCTCGTCTGCGTTGACTATATGGTAGAGCAATGTAATCAATTCCATGCAATTAACCTTTCCTCTGAAATTTGAGCCCTTCAATTCCTTCTGAATGCTGATATTGCATTGAGTTCCACCACTCGAGCAGCAATTTCTGGACCATAACAACTGACTGTAAAAACTTATGATTCCTCACACTGCTGTTCATTACTTTTGGCTCTTTTACCAAGCACCTTCAACTATTTAGACAGAATTTGACACTGAAGCAGCTATTAGGACAGATAATAAAAAAAGCTTAATCAATGAAGCACATTTTAAGGAACAGCATAAGCGAGAAAGACAGGCTGGCAGAGGGGCAGGGAACTGTAGATCGAACATTTCAGCATTTAGTCCGAGACAGTAGAAGACATGGCCCCATGCAATTTATTTGCTCTTCAGAGAGGTGAAGGTGGGTGTGGATTGTTCCTTTAAAAATTATGCACACATTACAATTGCTCCAAATATCTGACACTTTGCCAGAATGCACTCCCATATGTCACCTTTCAAAGGGTTACGTTTTAAATCTGAACTTTCTAGAGTACAATCCACACACTAAAAGCTAGTAAAATGGCTCCCTCACTTCAGCAGAACGCGATTGTAAAGCCAACATTCAAGAGTTTCCCTTTTGTTAAAATCTATGACAGAGCCTATGATGCTATAGTACAGACTGGCACAGATTCCTTACTGTGCCTCTAAAACTCAATCTTTGACTGGTCCTCCTCACTGCTGTGACTATTCCATGCTTAGAACACACAGCCAGGGCGCCTAGAAGCACTGGCACATCCACACATACACTTTTCCATGACAGATACCCCCAGACTGAGCAGATAAGATAAACCAAAAATATCGTGAAGAACCAGTAGCAGCATAGTTACTGATCAGCAGACAGAAACAGGCCCAGTAAGCTGTTAAAATAAAAGAAAGAATTGGAGAAACCACAAAAATACAATCCCCACTGATATAACCTGAATCAGGCTGACCTTTTCCTCACATCCCCATTACTCATTACTCATTACTCATCTCACCATCTCACCATCTCCCCATCTCCCCATCTCCCCATCTCCCCCTGTCATGATACCCCCCTCCTGTTGCCCGCTTCTCCCTCCCCCTGTACTGATCCCCTTCCTCTTGTCCTGTTGCCCCCCCTCCCTCTGTCCTCCTCTCCCTCCTTACCCCAGGCCTCACTGTTCAGCAGGTTTTCGGGGAAGAAGCGACTCTCCAGCTCGTTCACCAGATCCGTTGCCATGACGGCTCCGCTTCCACCGAACGAACAACAAGAACCAAGAGTTTTCAACAATAAACTGCCTCGACTATAAAGTCAGGAGGAGGCTGGCTCCAAATCACCACCACAAGGACCAACTAGGCCTCTCTACACACCGGTCCCGACTCGTTGCCCGAGCTCCGAAACCAATTGCGGCCCGGTCCCGGAAACCCGCCCACTCGCTCTGAGCGACACGCCGAAATCCAATCCGCTTGCTGGTTCCACGGAAACCCGCCTTCCATTTCGTACGGTGACTCTCTGAACAGCAGGTTGTTAATCCAATCCGCTTTCGGAATTCCCTGCGACCCTACGACTACGTCAATATGAGCGACAGGCCAGCATCCAATCCGCTTTAAACTCCCCGGAAACCTGCCCCTTCGGTGACGGATGAATAGCCAATCCTCTCCCCGATTTCTCTGAATGGCAGGGGCAAAACCAATCCGCTTCCGGGATTTTCTGGAAACCCGGTTCTTTACAGCCTCCCGCTCGAGTGACAGCATGTCCACCAATCATTTTTCCTTTGGCTGACATCCCGCCTCCCATCTTTCGACGGATAGGTACCTTGAATGATCCGTCTCCTTGTCCCCATGGTACCCCAGAAATGAAATCTAATTGACAAGCAAATCAACCAATTGACTACCTAATCCTCCATTATCCCGCCTCTCGCTTTCTGATTGACAGTCCATCGGGACAATCGCCCTCAACCTCTTCGAAAGCCCTGCTGCCGAATGGTACCATTGACTTCATTCTCAAGGTTTTAAATTATTCAGATGATAATGGGACTGGAGACGTGAGGATGCAGCATTTGGACCAACATGCAAATAAAACAAACAGCGTGTTTAGTTTTTTTTTGCTTCTTGGACTTAATTCTAAACGATTTCGATTTCTGACGAGCATTTTAGAAAACAAAATATATAGAAGGATCGACAGTGTAGATTCAGAGATGCTGCCCTCGAAGCATTGTGGAAACAGGAGATGCAGTCTCAGAATAAGGCATAGGAAATTTAGGACTGAGATGTGGAGGAATTTCTTCACTGAGAGGGATGGTGAAGCTCTGAAATTCTCTCTCCCCAAATGGGTGGAAACTCCATCATTGAGTTTGTTCGACATCGATGAATTATCAACACGCAACAAAGTCAAGGGCTATGGAGATTGTGCAAAAAATTGTGATCAAGCAAAAGATCCGAATTGCAGTAACTGCGATGCTGGAAGGTCTACTCCTGCTGCTAAAACTGATGTTTTTGTGTTCTTACATACCACTTTAGGGTAATTGCCCTCATTTTGTTTACTAAAGACCCTCGGCCAAACGGATCAGGAATCAGAGATAGCAAGTACCGCAGATGCTGCAGTCAGAGACAACGCAGTGTGGAGCTGGACAAACACAGCAGGCCACGCAGCATCAGAGGAGCAGGAAAGTTGACGTTTTGGATTGGGACCCATCTTCAGAAATCCGGAGGGGGAAGGGAGCTGGGAAATAGAGAGAGGAGGGGTGGGGCTGGGAAAGGTTGGTGGGATGGTGATAAGTGAGTGCAGGTAGGGACTGGTGGGGATTGGTCAGTGGGATGGGTGGGTGGATAGGTGGGAGAGAAGATGGACAGATGGTGTCAGGCAGGATGAGAGGGAGGGTTTGTCATGGGATGAGGTGGGAGGGGGGATGTGGTGGGGAGATTTTAAAACTGGTGAATTCCATGTTTAGGCCATCGAATTGTATGTTCCTGAGGTGGAATATGAGGTGTTGCTCCTCCAGTTTGTGGGTCGTGTCATTGTGACACTGGAGGAGACCCAGGATGGACATGTCACCCAGGGAGTGGGAGGGGAAGTTAAAATGGTTGGTGACCGGAAGGTGTTGTTGTTTGTCGCGGACTGCTCTCTCCACAACTCCCTCGTCCAGCCTACACTTCCCACTAACCCCACCACACCCGGCACCTTTCCCTGCAATTGCAGGAAGTGCTACACCTGTCCCTACACTTACCTCCTCACCTCCATTCAAGGCCCAAAACAATACTTTCATATCAGACAGGGGTTCATCAGCATATCTGTCAACTTGGTCTACTGTATCCGCTACTCCCGATATGGCTCATGTAGATCGGTGAGACCAAGTGTGGACTCAGAGACAGTTTCATAGAAGATCTGCACTCTATACGCGATAAACAACAACACCTTTGACCTCTTCCCCCCATGTAAAATGTAATACAGAACAAATTTGAACAGGTACTGTGAAAAAAAATTTAATAATTTTTTAGAAATTAAATTTAGCAATTGCTGGTTATTTAAGGGACATTCTCACTGATGTGGACAGAGATGAGCGAGAACATTAAACCAGAAATTAATGTTAACTGTGACTCCATCAACATTCTGCTGAGTATAAATTGCACAGCTTTTTTTGTCACAGAGAGAAACATGTTAATTGCCTCACTAACCTCACTAACGTATTTGTTGCACATCACGCCCAATTGAGCAGTGAAATCGGTCTTCCTTGCAGTCTCACCCCATTTAATATTTGAAAATGCTAAAGGCAAATTTATTTGGTATTAAAAACCATCAATAAACATAAGTTTTCCCTCCTGTCCAATTTTATTATAGAATATCCACTTGAACATTACATTCTCGATAATATTTACTGACCTGAGCAAACCCACTCCAGTTTGTCAGTGTTAGTTTACCATGCAATGTCATTGCTGCAAAATGGTGACAGTTCTGGTTAAGTAAAATTGACAGGTTTATTATGATTGCAGAAAATAATCCAAAAATGAGGAAACGTTCGGTGGGCCAGGCAGCATGAGAATGGCACTTGCTCACTGCCAAATTGAAGACAGCCAAATTTCACAGCAGCAGCTGGTCTTCCACCTCCTGAAAGTAAATCTGAGACAGCCCGCTGAAAACTATGACACCAGGAATCATCGTCACCGCAGAGAAGATGAGAATTTGGGAATATTTGGAGTGAAAATTTTCACAGCTCTTTTTTTTCACTCATGGGCCATGACGTCACAGGCTGGCCAAAATTTACTGGCGGTCCTTAGATACCCTTGAGAAGGTGTTGGTGAGTTGGCTTCTGAAACCACTCCAGATCCTGTGCTATATGTAGACCAAGAGAGTGAATTCCAGGATTTTGACCCAGCCACATTGAAAGAACTGTGACGTGTTTCCAAGTCAAGTTGGTGTGTGGCTTGGGAGGGAACTGCGGGCGGTGGTGTTCCCATGTATCTAGTGCCCTTGTCCTTCTAGATGGAAGTGGTTGTGCGTGTGCCTTCAAAGGATCTTTGGTGTCTTGTAGTTAGTACACACAACTGCTGCTAAGCGTCAGTGATGGAGAGAGTGGATGCTTGTGGATGTGGTGTTAATCAAGTGGGCTGCTTTGCCATGGATGATATCAAGCTTCTGATTGTTGCTGGAGCTGCACCTGAATATGCAAGTTAGGAGTATTCCATCACACTCCTGACTCGTGCCTTGCGGATGGTGAACAGACTTTGGGGAGTCAGGAAATGGGTTCCTAGACTCTGCCATGCTCTTGTAGGCACTGTATCTATATGGTGAGCCCAGGTGAGTTTCTAGTCAATGATAATCCCAAGGATGTTGCTATTAGGGGATTCAGTGATGGTAATTGCAGGGGTGAGGTGACTTGTACTTGAACACACTAAGTGGCCTGTGCCTGCTTACGAGATGGCAGACAGAAGCAAAACAAAGCAGTCTGCACACACAGTGAAATACAATGGTACCATTGAACAGAACTGCTAGAAGGTCAGTAAAGAAATGCTGTATGTTCCCATCTGAGACTGTTCTGATAAAAGGATGTGTTAGGACAGATAAATGACCAATTCCAGCTTTATTAATGAAATGATGATTGTCCCAGTAAATGAATAACGTTAGGTGCTAGCTTAGGTCATCAAGCAGCCGCAAGGATAAGAGCTAAAGTTATTTGGTAGTAAATATTGTCTCTTTGAAGCTACCAGCAATATTAAATAGTTTCTAGCTAAAAATGCTCTAATCATAGAAGTTGGTTTCAATACAGAACTAGGATATAATATGAGCCTTAATGAACATTTAAACTTAGATATAAAGATTAGCTAGCCTTAGAAGACACCTTCTCTTATGCACTGAACAAGATAGATTGATCACAACCCATAAATTACAAAATGCTGACAGTAGAAGTAGTTTTATATGATTACAGTCATAAGTAACTTTATAACAAAAGTTAACCTTATAGCAATTATTTTTACATTATGTAATTGGGACAGTGGGAAAATAAAAAGAGTAACTGAATGTGATAAAAGACAGCACCAAAACACAATGGGTAATAGAATTTGAACTGCCATTACAGATAAACAAGCCTGAGAAAGACCCGAAGGAGTATAGCCATTTAACATTTGAAATGTGGATGAATAGAATGCATGGGAAGATCCCAAAGCCTAGCGATTACAATGTCCAGCTAATACCATAAGATCATGAGAACCTGGGGCTGTCCATGGAGGTGCCTATCATTGATTGAGTGTTTGAATTACTGGAAAGGGTGATGATTATGCTGTTTTTGATTACTGTAACACAAAATGTAAAAAATGCTGTATTTCTTTCTAAAAGCAGAGGGGTGAGTCATTGATCTATCTTCCAAATCCAGATTTGAGGACGATCCTTTGGCTGTCTCCCTGCATAAACTGGTTTCTGCTTGAATAAACATTTCCCACTTGTCTGAATCCTGCCTGCCTCCTGAGTCTTTGTCCTGGGTCAGAAAAAACACACCTACAGTAATCATGATGTCGAGGTGCCAGTGTTGGACTAGGGTGAACAAGATCAGAAATCATATGACACCAGGTTATAGTCCAACAGGTTTATTTGAAAACACAAGCTTCCAGAACCTCAATCCTTCTTCAGGTGTTAGGGACAGAGCTAATATCAGACACAGAATTTATAATTAAAAGATCAAAGGGTCACACCATTGATAAGGATATATTAAACAAACCTAAGATGTTGTCAAATCTTTAATCAGTTAGAAGGTTTTAATTGATTAATTTGTATACGTAAATCCCCAAATTCCTTTCAAGTCACTACTCTGAGAGAACTAAAGATTTTATCAGTGTAAAAAAGAGGTGACACTTTCGGTCAGACAATGCATGTTAGGTGTGAGGCCTTGTTTAGAATCTGTTGTGTTTTAGTTTGGAGTCAGACTGGTTTTATTTCTAAACTAGGAATTTATAAAACGCCACTTTGACTGAC